TCCTGCGGAAGCGGTCGAGGATTTGTTCCCCCACAGACTGCATCAAGGACAATTGGAGCACTTTAAACTTGGCTGAAGACTGGTAGGCCTCGAGCCTTTGGTTGACGAGCTCCTCGAAGGCTTCTGAGGATTTGAATTGCCACACTTGACCTTCGATCATGTCCTTGAGCTCCTGGGACTCCTTGATTGTTTCCAGCCTGGCGTCAGCCAGGCGGCGGAAGTCCTCAGAGGCCATGAAGTCCGAGATGGCTTTGGAGGTCGCCTCCTTCTGTTACTCCTGGAACTCCGGAGATGAGAGGTACGTCTCGACTCCCTTAGAGCTCCCCTCCTTAAAGCCCGCCTTGAAGCTACTGGACTTCTCAGTGGAGATCTTATCCTCGAGGGATCGCACCTTGGCCTTCTCGACCTCCTAGTCTGTCGAGAGCTCGTCCCGGACAGTGCGAAGAGCGCTAATCTCCTTTTCGGCAGCCGCCGACATCATCTCCTTCTTGAGAAGGGTCTCCAGCTCCACATAATTCTGGAGAGCATGCTCGAGGGCCTGAACTCCAAAAGGAGGAAAGAACACTGTGAGGATGAAGAAGCCAAACCTCTAAAAAAAAAACTACTACATATATGCAAATGAAAAATAGTGATAGCAGTCGGGGTCGGGACTTACCGTGAGCTGGCGCTTCACGGTCAGGCGCTGCCGATCCAGGATACTCTCCCCAGAATAAACGTCCTAGGTCTCCTCATGAAAGAAGTTATATATGGCCAGAGCGTGAGTGAAGTCGAGGTCGACCACGTCACGGATAAGGAAATTGGGGTCGTTGACCTTCGACCCCGGCAGCAGGAGAGGCTCCGCCGGAGGGGGCGGAACCGCCAGGTTTGCAGCAACCTCAGCGCCCTTCTTTTTATCGAGGCGTCGGCCCTGCCCGGAAGACCCCTCGACCGTATGAGGGTCTCATGGCTCGTCCACCCTTTGCCTCTTCGAGGGGGGCTCGATCACGACCACTCCCCTTCTAGGGGTTACAGTGATGCCGGGGGAGGCAACGGTCTCGACTGCAGGCTGACTCGATGTCCCGCTCGACTCCGCTCCGGTCTTACTCTTCCTCATCTTGGCGGGGATGGTGTACTTCATCTCGGATGGCACGGCAACATGGAAAAGGAGAGATCAATTCAAGGACATCTCGACTACACCCCCTGGCCTTTGCTAAAGAGATTGAAGGGGAAGAGCCAACTTTCCGTTGAGAAGATCCGCAGGAGGAACTACAGGTTAACGCGGAGGAGGAAGCTCTACGACCAGGTCACACAGCAGGCGGTTCCTTCGAGTATTAAGGGCCGAGGCACGTCGACGATCGGGGGAAAGCGACAGTATCTTCTCGACGCGAGCAAGAGCGGCCGAGGAGAGCCTTGGTCGCTCAACTTCTTCACCTACGGGTAGGAAACAACAAGTGTGAGACGACTCGACAGCAGCACATAGATCTTTTTTTAAAAAAAAAGAAAAAGAAAAAGGGGGGGAACCTACAGTATTTACTGAATACTGTTTGAGTCCCCATCGATCGCTCACCGTCGAGGGGGTGAGAATTGAAATTCCCCCCGAGGAAGAAGAATTGGGGCTTCCACCCGTGAGCGCTGGTGGTCTTCTCAACGACCACGGGTGGGATTAGAAGTTTGGACTTAGAGTGGGAGGATAAATAAAAGAACCCCCTTTGATTGGGGGAGGCCCTGAGGGAGTAGCAGTACAAGAATTCCTCGACGGTTAGGTCGAGGCTCAAAAACTTCCTCCATAATATTATCATAGAATTTATTGTCACCCAACAATTGGGTGACAACTTTGCGGGAGAGATCATGTGGAGACTGCAGAGGGCCTTCACGAATGGATGGAAGGGCAGAGTTAGCCCAAAGGTGAGCGCACGAGTGTACACGGTCATGTGACCGGGGGGAGGGTTGTGAGCCCTGTCATTGGGGGTCGGGATGATCAGGTAAAAGTGCAGGGGGTCGATCCCTGCATCGGTGAATGCCCTCCTAGCGGCGTGGGGCTTGATCTTCGACGGGTCAAGGTCTGTGGCCAGCCCTGAAAGGGTGCTTGTCGACGCTACCCCGTACCCTCGATCCCCGGGGGGACCGGCTTGTGGGTCAGCACCCTCATCGTTGAGGAGTATGAGTGCGTCCGGTTGAGAAGCCGAGGCTGACGCCTCAGCATACTCGCCCACTTGACGAAGCAAGGAATTCCCGCTCTCGCCCGAAGATGTGCTCGAAGTCGCGACATCCTCAGGATCATCCCTGACCCTGTGCGCAGAGACCTCTCGACCTCTAGTCTGCTTCGACGACATGTTCTGGAAAAAGGCAAACAAGGGGGCGAGTTGGCTCCTAGTGGTCGAGAGGTCAAAAGCGCAGAGCAAGAAGAAAAACATAATGTGCCATGAGTCAGAGAGGCCCAGAGCCAAGCTCGGGGGCCTCAGGCCAAAACAGCGGTGCCCAAACAGGTCAGGTAGTATAAGCTCAGCTGTCGGCGCAAGGCCGGCGGGATCAGGGAAGTACACTTCCCCTCTTTACAATGCGTTTTGGCATGACCCTCGCAGACACTGGAACCGGACCCACAGGAAGAACGGAGGGAATGAAGACTTACCAGATTCGGAGAAAGCTTGAGTCTGAGGGCAAAAGACGATCAAAGTGCGTAAGGATGCATGGAGGCAAAAGGCTCGGGTGAAAGTCCGGCAGAGTAACGGCGTCCGGAAAGCTTGGTGGTCAGCGAGATGAAGACATGAGGACATATATATACCCGCCAGAAGAGAAATCCAAGGATCCCCGAGGAGTCCAAAGGGCTCCAGATCTCAACCATAGAATCTGATTCGGTCCCATCCGACGGTGGATCTGAGAAGGCACGATCGAACGGTCGGGGAGAGAGCAACAGGAAAGGACTCGATTTGACAGCGACGATTCATCCTTCCAATTCCACGTGGCGTTAGGGAAATGGGGACGTGACGGTTGATGCAATTGACGTGATTACTCCACTGCCCAAGAAACCAACCGCAATGATGCACTGTACCTGCGAGCAACCGCCCTTACTCGCAGAAAGGTCTTTTTCCACGTGGCATCCTCGACGCTATATAGCCAGGAAAGTCACACTGCGACGTTCCAGTCTAGGGGGTAATTGTTACACCATGGTCGAGACATCGACCACTCTCTCGAACGACAGACGCCGAGGACTCCCCGCAGAGGATCGGCCGCTGGCGTCGAGGGAACGGCCGTAGCTAATGTGCCCTCTACGTCGAGAGACCATATGTGGGAAGAGGCGCCGGGCGCAATGACTTAACCTTCGAAGGCCATAGTGCCGAGGCAGCACTGTCAGTATTCTCTACCAGCGGTCTTGTCAACTCAAAGAGGGAAGTATTAATCCGACTGCTACTGCAGGAGTCAGGAAATCAGGCGGCAGATAGGAAGGATCAGCCGCGTTTCCTGGAGCAGTCATCATGAAAACTCACCTACCCTCACGCGGATCGAGGAAAGAAGATGACTTCTTCCTTGGGAACGGAAAATACGTATTCACATGTAAAGGCCTATAAATAGAGCCAAGAAAACCCAGAAAGGGGTTAGACACCATTTCATTATTAAGAGAAAACTTGTAAACGGCTGAAATATTAGTGCATACACAAGTGAATTAGGTAAAGAGTTATTGCCGAACCACTATAAAGTTATTGTCTCATTTACATTATTTTTCAGTTTTTATCTTTGATTCAATCATTAGTGTCACCGTGAGTGTTTTCAGAGAGGTAACTGTGAGTTGTCGGAAAAACATCGTCAACAAATTACTTATATTCAGAGAAGTTTTGGAGCGACATCCTCTACGCTGGTGACAAGTCTTTTTTTGTTTATTCCTGAAACTTGGAATGTTGCGTTTCATTTCATCCTTATGGTTAAACTGAGCTGTGACACGTGGTTGAGGCGGTGGAGTATTTGCCAGCACAGCGTCTTCTACAACAATCTATGGGTGCGTTTGGTTCATAGATTAGAACTATGTGATTAGAATTATTTTCTATTTACGTGTATTTTTTGTGAGAGAAAATACTGTAGCGAACTACAAACCATGATTCAAATAAGGAAATGAATCCATCTACCAAACATCACCTATATATAAAGTAGTCGGTCATCAGATATGTAGAAATAGAGAGAGAAACTTGTATGTGAGGAACAATTGTAGAGAGAGAAATTGTACTGTGAATGTGTTTGGTGAGTGAGAAAATAGTTGAGTTTGGGAATACTTTCTGGGTAAGTTTTTCTCTAGAAAACATATTGGAATCTCTCTGGGTTTGTTTCTTGGAGGTTTGCGTTTCTGATTTTTTGTAATCTGTTGATTGAGGGTGTACAGTTCTTTTCTATATATAGTAGAATTGAGTTTTCATGTGGAGGAGTTGAGCAGGACGTATGTCTATATATTGAATCAAATTTGGATAAAATTGCGCGTATTAATCTTATTCTCTTTTTCATTCTTAATCTGTTTTCTTGTGTTGGAGACGTTCCAACAATATTTTTAGAACTACAAAATCATCAACTGGAATCAAAACTCATCACCAGAAAAAGAAAAAAAAAACTGAACTTTTATTAATAATTGGACGGAAAGGAACACAGTGCAATATTTTATTGACTTTGCAGCTATTGAAGTTGTGGAAACACTCTAGTGTTGCCAAAAGTAGCAGAACAAACACTAGAAAAAGTTACATTAGAGAACTAAGGCCTGCTTCACTTTGTTGATTTGAGTTTAGAATTTAAGTTTAGATGTAATTTTATGTGAGAGTTTTTTACTGTAGTAAAAAAGTTAGATGTGATTGTTTATGAGATTCGAGTTTAGAATTTGAGTTTAGATGTGATTTTATGTGTAAACTTTTTACTCTACTAAAAAAGTTAGATGTGACTGTTTATAAGAGCTTTTTATTGTAAAAAAACTCGAATTCTAAACTCGAAACAGCAAAGTGAACGGACCTAAAAAGAGAAATAAATAAATAAAAGTTAGAGAACTTTACAACGAGACTAAATCCGGTGACGGCGGTGAAGGAGTTGGCGATGGCGACACCGGAAAGTGAGAGCTCGCTGAGATGGCCTGCCATCATCACAGAAACAACCTGAAGAAGGTAGTGTGACACGGACACGACCACCATGGGAACAGCTATGTAACTGACCTTCTTTAGCTCCTCCGCCAATGCCCTCCATGTTACTTTCCATTTCTCATCTCTCTCTACCAGAAGTGCCTCTTCCATGGTTGATTTTGTTCAAGTTTCTGTTGAGCAATGTGGTTGTTGGTTTACATTTATGAGTGTCCAATGCCAAGAAAGAGACTCAATAAGTGTGTGTGTGTGTATGGCTTTCTCTCTATTTTTTTTTTTTTTTTTAATATCTCAAGTTTGACATAAATGTAGAATTATTGTTAGGCCCCGACAAAATAATCTCTATCGACGATCGACATTGACGGAAGTTGGTGTACTAACTATAAAGCAATTGTTAAAAAATAATAACAAAAATTGATGGGTCGAAGTCGGCATACTGCATACAAAAATGAAGAGTGATAAATAAATATTTTATTTCAGATTCTCAAATTTTTCTTTTGTTAAATGTACACTTCATATTTTTCAAACAAATACATCTGATAATAAACATTTTTCCTAACATATTTGCTTTCATACCAATTTTTTTTCCTTAAACATATTTACAAGATTGCCAACCTGCCTCTATAAGCAATTAACCTTGCATTTCCCACGTTCCCTCTCCACCACTTTTTGTACAATTGCCACCTTATATTTTACCATCGATCTTTTTAAGCATTGATCTCACCTATGGCCGCGCAACATTAGCGTTATAATCACATTAGTCTCACGTGACCCCTTCTGACAGAGGTTGTCTTGAAAACAAAGTGAAAAATACCACATATTCTCATTTAACTCCTATTTATCTGTATGTTCTTTATGGAAATTCAAACATATATATTAAGTTACAGATGCAATTATGAGCCGGGGCCGCTGTTGGGCAAACACGATACTGTTTAAAATACGACTTAACTTATTAATATTGATAGACTGAGTTGGGTCGCTTACTTCGGTCTATGAATCAATACGGTATGACCCATTAAAATTCATGGGCTAGATTAGATTTAGGCTGGGTCAGACCTGGGCCATCCATGGGCCCATTTTGACACAGCTTCTAACATATTTATATATGTATATATATATATATATTTATATGTGTGTGTATATATTTATTAAATTACATATTGTATTTGTTATATAAAATATTTACTTCACACATTTGTTATATATACCGCCATTATAGTAGTACATCGAATCGTGCATAATATTTATTTTTTTTATGTTTTTTATGTGTTCTTGTTTGTTTAATGTCTATTTAGTAATCTTATAAACATCTTGTGCAATTATCTTAATTGTATTTTTTTTATCCTTATTTAGGTTTTATTCTTTTGGATTCTCCTTAAAAAGGTTTTTAATGAAACATACATAAATAAAAGTTTTGTTTTCAAATTTTCATAACTATTTAGATTTTATATTTATTAGCTTGTTTAAAAGTTCAAAAAAATAATAAAAAAAAAGAATTGACAAAATGCATATTAAGATGAGTTGGTCCATCCAAACCCCTAACAGGCCAACCTATCTTGATTAATTATGGGAAATAGTAGAAAATATGTCAAAAGCTTATAATGCAATCTCATATATATAATAAATAGTAACATACAGAAAAGTACATGATTTATCATAATTTTATACAGACTTATAATTTACGTCATTTTAAATAATTAGGTGTCGTATGTTGTTTAAGCATTTTTTTTCTCTATATTTTTTAGGGAAATTTTTTCGTTATTAATTAAATCACAATTTATTTATGAGTGAAGTGGCATATATAAATAATATTTTTTTATCACCTTAAGTAGGGGTGGCAATTCGTGTCATGTGTCGTGTTTTGGTTGTTTCTTTTTAAATTTGCAGTCAACACGAACACGACCTGTGACACGAAATTTTTAAATAACCGCAACACGAACACGACACGACCACTTTATGAGTTGACATAACACGACACGAAATGACCCGTGAAGCCGAAATTGACATGAAAATTATGTACTTTTCTTTAGTTTTTTACATATTAGAAATAACTTAAAATTCATAACATGTTAAAATACGACCCCATTCATTTCACCGATTTGAGTTTAGAATTCGAGTTTTGCTACAGTAAAAAGCTCTCAGAAATAGTCACATCTAACTTTTTTACTACAATAAAAAAATATCGCATAAAGTCACATATCAAATCGAATTAAAAACTCGAATCAGCAAACTAAACGGGCTCTACAATAACGTCCATCAAAATTAAGCAAAAAATAATGTAAAATTTTGAGTAAGACTATCATAATACACAAGTTCATAATAAAATATAAAATATGTAATGAAATATATATATATATATATATATTTTAGTGTTTTATAAATTTTGTGTTGTATTCGGGTTAGGCAGGTCCAAGCTGAAATTGACATGTGTTTTTCTGTCAATTTCAGGTTGACTTAATTCTGACCTGAACTTTTTTTTTATCAACCTTAACTCGCAAAATTCATGTCTTTCCCATATTACCAGTCTTAGTGGTATTTCTGATTTTTTTCATATATTATCGATGTCAAAAAAAAAAATATATATATATATATACATACATTCAAGGCCCTTACTAGCCTATAATAATTACCGAGAAAAAAATAAAATTGAAAAGAAGAAAAAGAAGACTGAAAGGTATCTAAAAGTACTATTGTAGGCCTCGTGAATATTTATTAATAACAAATCTAACATAAATTTAAATTAAAAAACTATATATGGACATGATAAAAGGGCATGCTAAAAGATGCTCCATTTCGGTTCTGACTTAAATACCAATAACGCTACTGCGCTGCACTACTATTTATTAGCATTTATTCGTTGATCGGTTTTCCGCGCGCATAGTATTGTATACCCACTATATATTTATGCACATATATATACACACACACACACTCTCTTGTTAGTGGTTTGATAAACTTCCTCAGAAAAACCAAAGGCATTGATAAGATGGAAGCATATCAGCAGGTGCCTTTACTTGTCCCAAAGAGATCAGAGAAGATAAGAAAACTATGGGGCGGAGGGTTTTGGAGAGAACTGAAGAAGGTAAGCGTGATGGCGTTGCCGATGGTGGTGGTAACGGTGTCGCAGTTCCTTCCTCAGGTCATATCGACCATGATGGCCGGACATCTGGGTGAACTCTCCCTCTCTGGTGCTGCCATCGCCACATCTTTTGCCGACGTCACTGGCTTTAGCGTTCTTGTAAGTTTCACTTCTTAACTATTGCATGATTAGTGTTTCTTATCATATATACCACTCGTTTATATATATATAT